ATATATTGCCATCAAAAACACTGGAAGCTAGATCAGGCCAAGTGCATGAGCCTGGTCCATTCTAGGCTTTTGGATGGGTCTTCACCTCTCTTAGAATGAATTCTCTGATTGGCTGTGCCATTCTTAAAAGAACGCTCTGACACTTTTTATCATATTTGTTTTGGTCTTTCGTCTTGAACAAGACTATTGGATGACATCTTTCGAGAGGTAAAAACCWGCAGGCATTCCAGTGCAAAAGTTTCAGTTTATKTAAGATTATCCCRCWATAAAATTTCAATCTTCTATCCCTCTTTCCACAAACAACTGACATAGAGTATCCTAAAGATGTTAACTTAATTGTAAAGAGTGAATCAAAGTTGTCCAGTTTAGCTTTTATCATGAGTAGTTTAAGATAAATGCTGTGTTTGCTTTTAGCTCCAACACAAAAACCTAATATTAGTAAAGCACCRCCCAAACCTGAACCACCAAAGGTAAGATGATTTTGCTAAATATTGGTATCAGTATTGGTATTCCATAAGAATGTAATTAATATATAATTATCTTTTTTGCTCTGCTCAGCTCTGCTCTGCTGTACTCGGCTGTGCTGTGCTCTGCTCTGCTTTCCTCTGTAATGCTTTGACTTTTTTTTTATCTCTCTTTTTTGTTTGTTTGTATTTTTTGTTTGTTTTGCTTGTGTTTTGTTTTAATTTTGTTTGTTTTTCCAGTTTATTTTTCTTCATAATTTAGTTCTTTTCTATCAACTATCTTTAGCCTGAGCCACCAATAGTTTTAGCACAAACCAAGAACATTGTACCATCAGAAAGAAATAGACCTGCTGGACTTCAYATGTCAGACTTTTTACCAGTAAGTTCATAGACTCAATTTTTTTCCTTCATTCCTTTTGTTTTTTCATTTTTTCATTTTCCTTTTTATTTCATGTTTCCCTTCTTTTCACTTATATCTGACATTTGTTGCAGCCCAATCCTGTTGCTCCTGAACCAGAACCTTACAAAGATAACAACTTTACACCCCCTGTACCACAGTTATCTGAATCAGARTCATTAAATATGTTAAGTAAAAGTAAGTTGACTTTCCAGGGGGGGACTGCTGAGAATGGACTTTTCTATTATCAGCACAAGGGTTGGAATTAAAAGTTGTTTTCAAGGGCAACTAGTAAAAATCCTGGAACACTCCTTGAATCTGTTACAGTCTACATGACATTGTTTAAAGTTAAATGTTCTTTGTGCAGTATCCAGAAACCTCATTGAAAGAAACACAAAATAAAAATCTTTGAAATAAATTTTTTTAACTATTTGAAAAGTCATGGAATTTTGTAATAACACATGGACTTGATGTAAGTTGAGGTTAATTATATTATATTGTAATTGTTGCTATGATTGTYTCTATCCACAGGTCATATGTCAATCTTGTCAATTATGAGTGCAAGGCARAGAAATCTCTCTGTTATTGCAAAATATTGGGGAGATGGCGAAATCAAGGTATTGATGAACTAAAGTTAATAATTTTGAATCGATATATGAACAGCTGATTTACATCTGATATGCAAAGGCAATAGGATTTTAATGCATTTTCTTTATGTTTAAGTCGGCCATACAGACTGCTGTCAATATGAATGATTCAGCCATATTAGTAGATGTACTCAATGTCCTTTGCTTAAAACAGTAAGTAGCCTCTTTTGTCTTCTATGCAGTTACTGAAATTAATCTCCATATTAAATGACCTGTTGAGGGTCTTCTTGGGCATACCACAGCTTTCACAAATCGACTTAAAGCAGCCAAGACTCTCATGATGATTGACAAAATAAACACAAAAAATAACCATTGCATTGTGAAGCTGTGCAAAAAATGGTTCCTTACTAACATTCTTTCTTACAAACGTGTAACGTAGTACTCCTGCATCTTCAAAGATGGAAGTAGCCACAAAAACAATGGCATTCCTGAGGCACCTGTATTTGTCTTATTCTAACTGTTCAATTACTCTTGTAGGACTCTTTGGAATTTGGATATTTGTTTGATCATTTTGCCTCAATTAAAAGACTTGTTCATCAGTAAATATGAAAGGTACAATATTAATCATAATATTAGGCTTGTCTATCCCTGCTGTGGTCCCGGTTCAATTCCCGAACTTAGACTATAATATGTGATTTGAGTTTGTAAGCTGGTTCTCTTCCTTGCTCCGAGGGTTTGTTTTTTCTAGGTACTCTTTTTTTCCTTCCTCAGTCAAAAATCTAGCTTTGAGGAGTGTTGTGTGCTAAAACATTCAATGTATTGGTTGTGAGTGTGATAGAGTCTGATACATACATGTAACAGTAGCCACTGGCTAGGTAGACTCAATGACGACTYCCAGTATCTAGACCTAAAATATGTATGACTATTTATGTAATATACTTTTATAATTTTAGTATAAGGTTGTTTTGAAAACCACAGCCACTTTCAGTCTTACATTCCCCAATAATATTTTCKTACAAACATTTTACAAATTGAACTATTATTAACACAACAATTTCATTTGTCAGTTATGCTCAAGCAGCAGCGTCTGCACTGAAGTTGATTCTGAGAAACTTTGCACCAGTTATTAAAAGCAACATGTCTGCTCCTCCTGACTCCATTGGGGTTGATTTAGTTAGGGAAGAGCGGTAAGATAACAGCAACAAAAATAACAGCTTTAAAATATCAAATGAATGGATGAATAAACCTTTATTTATTATAAAGCTCAGTGTGGTGGTCCCATCAGTTGCACATGCATCTGTTATCAATGGGAGCCTTGAGCTTCAAGAGCCAGTCATCATGCCAAATCCATGACTTTTCAAAACAAAATTTGTATTTTGACAGTTGATAGCATCAAAACGTCGATAAAATGATTAAAAACTTTCTAGCTTTAGTTTTTACTCTTCAAATACAAACAAAGCCACAATATTTAATAATCAAAATAAAATATCATTTTTTAGATATAACAAGTGTCAAGCTTGCCATGCCCACCTTCGATCTCTCAAAACTGTAATATCCAACAAGACAGCCTTGACTGGTAAAATGGGAAGTCTGTTTCGGGAGCTCTCATTAGCATTCTCTGCAGTGGACTAATAACAATATTCMAAACTGACGGTAGTGTTGACTTTAAGAAGACAGGTTAGAAATCTTGGTAAAATGTGAATTGTCAAGTGCAGGAGAAATGGAGATGTGTTATGGGTTTTCAAATGTTTAGTCTCTGAGTCAAGAATGAATGACTATCAAATTCAAGTGCATTAAAAGGCTCAAAAATAGCGAACAAGAGTTGCTTTGCTTGGGACGGTGAGCAAAACTACCTAGGTGGAGAGTTTTAGCAATGAATTAGTAGCAAATTACAACAAATTACTGATTCCTCTTACAGATTTTCTTATAGTTAAAACTCTTGTGGTTTGGTTTATTACTGGTAGTTTTTTTACTAGCTTTTCATTTAGAATGAGATAGAGCATTGAAAAAGCACAATCTATTCAACTTAAAGAAAAAAAATCAGTTGACTATCATCTTAAGGGCACTTTTGAATTTGAGAAAACCAAATTGTATTGACTTATGATCCCAATAGTATCATTACGAGTAAAACATCAAATTGCATTATTGCTCATACTGGCTTACAGATTTGCAAAAATGGTGGTGTTTTTTTAGCTAAAACTCTCTAGTATTTCTTATTGGAAAGTCCTCTATCTTCAAAGAAAGTGGTTTGTGTTCTCTGGAAGGACAATAATTGTGTTATTCAATCAACAAATAATGTAATATTAATTTTATAAAATATTGACACCTTTGTTAACTCGAGCATCGGTGGTAGTCTGTTGTGTTGACTTGTGCACTAGTGTAGCGTATGTAATGTATGTGGATAGTTTATTTTTTGTGGCAATTCTGCAAATGATATTTATGAATGACTACGCTGTAAGTAAGGTAATTGCAACAAATGAAATAAACAATTTCAGCTTTTAAGGCTTGTCGTTTGCGCTTTTAAAGCTTATAAAGGCAGGACACACAAGTACAGCTAGTAGGTTCGCTGCAAGTTTTGATCAAGAGTGGTGTCAATAAGAGGACATACAATAAAAATACTGTGTTTTTAATTTTGTTTTTGCCAGTTTTAGTTGAAAACTTATGAATGATTCAACCATTTTAGTAGATGTACTCAATGTCCTGTGCTTCAAACAGTAAGTAGCCTCTTTTGTCTTCTTTCTATGCAGCTGAAATTAATCTTCATATTAAATAACCTGTTGAGGGTCTGTTGAGGGTCAGTTTTAGTTGAAAACTTTGTGAAAATCATTTTTTCCTGTCAACTGCGTGTACACTTGAATGCGATGCTGTCAGAACAGTGTGTAGTATTATCCTATTATTGACACTCAAATCAGCCAATCAGTGTGCGAGAATTCACACGTCAAGTGTGCTAAAATACCCCTTAGTACCTTGTAATAGGCCTAATCAACTCTGAGCATAAGTATACTTATTTTGAATTTTGAATTTTTGAATTTGAATTTTGTTGTATAATCAAAATATGACCATCTAGCAAATGCACATATATGTAGTTCAATTCCGAGAAAATTTGAGTTGTTTAAGTTGTTTAGAAACTTCCATTGTTTTTGTGGGATTTAACCCTAACAAATTTGATCATTTGCATTCACATATTTGATCAAAATTGCCTGCAGGATTTGTAATGAGGCAATTGAAGCAAAAGCTGAACCGCTCAGCAAAAGATGCAGCCTTTCCATTTTCAAACCTTTTAGTAAATAAATAATGTCCACACAAATATTTTGATTTAGACTTTTATTGAAATTCTTTTGCAAGACATTCCTTACTACATTGATATACATGTTTACAATGACTGCAACAAACCCATGAATAGAAAAGGGAATTTTAATTTATTTTAATATCTTTAAAGTTAGGAATTATTTGTTACTATTATTATGATCATTATTATTATTATAAATATTATTATTATTATTATTATTGATTGTTATTATCATTATTATATTATTATTGTTGTTATTTTTATTAATTTTTACTATATTTTCGTGGGTTTGTTGCCGTCACTATAAAAAACTAAAATCAACTATTTTAATTTATTACTACATAAACTACTAATTTAACATTAAATATTAAATAATATCTACATAGCTTTGTTTGCTTTTTTTATGGATTATTTGCTTGTTTTCATATTGATTATTCTATATAATTTTCAAGTAATAGTTCACTCTCTCATTTAACATCTATTCCTGGTTTTGGGTTCTTGTCCTTCCCGTACTAGTGTTAGTATTCCTGGAATACAGCTCCAACTGGAGGACAAAACAATGGATTCAATTTCAGAAATCTTTTGTTTTGTCCTCCAGATGAAGATGTCTTGATGTCACATGCCAAGGGGCCCGTAGCTTTTCCCACTTTTAAATAAGGAGTGACAGTCAACCCAATACCAGGCTGCAAATGAGGCTAATATGTTCATGCAGCTATACAGGTTTAGGGCACTATTCATTAGCTATTCTGCGATACTTTTAATGCCGACAAGTTCCTTTGCATTGAAGAACACAGAAATTGAGCTTACAATGACAGATAATTCTGAATGATGTTGTTCTAATTGCAAAAGGAAGTTATCWATTATTGCAAGCTAAATCACTGTCAAACTGTCGAACAGCTTAAGATAGTTCTGGGAACTATTAAACTGATTATTGGGATCACTAAAATGTGAAAAAATTGCATGTTTATCATTCCAATAACTTTGCTCTCAGAAGCAACTGTTTCCAGTTAGTAAAGTAACCCTCGTCATTTAAAAATTGCAGCTAAATACAACCATAACTAAAAGTCCAGGTATTACTATAAACATATGTTTGCTGTACATTAGACATAAACAGTTTTGATCTATTTACTTTTGAGAGATATCTTCAACCTAAGTAAATATGTGAACTCCAATAGCCATACAGTGTTAGCCTCAATAGCAATATTATTCAGTGAAGAAAACTTAATAGCTTTTACCAACAGGAGCATGGCAGTAGGTATTCAACTGTTGGAGTGCACTTATTTATGAAAAAAAGTTTATGATAGAGTGACACCTACTGGACGATGCACGTTGGACAATATTTAACAAGGACATGGATGGATTTCACCCAGTTATACAACATATAACACCCTATACATACTGCCTAGTGGATAACCCCACGCTTTTCATTGTCATCTGTCATTGACAACAACCTAGAGACATTGCCCATTTTTCTTTTGTGATTTTTGTGAATAGTTAGTGAATGCTCAATGTTAATACTTGGCACTTATGAGTTACAATCTTCTTAAATATTATATTATAACTTATATATAACTAACTATATCTTGAAAACTTAAATATATTGAAGCATAATTCTGCGACTGCATTAAATGAGCTGTTGCCATCACTCATGTGTTAGAYAAATTTACTGCAYCTTGTTCTGTCTAGGTTTTTAGCATAGCAACTTTGAAATGTTTGARCTATCCATTGAAATAAACCSAGTCTACTAGCTAAGTGTAACTTGATTTGCATCCATGAAACTTGACTCAGTAAACTGAATGTTTTCTAAACAGCTTCTTCAAAGTGAGACACTTTTGTATCAATTCATTGATTTTTTTCCACAGTTTTTAAAGTAAAAGCATCAGTAAAACATTGCCGTCAATGCATGTGCAAAACCTTAGCAAAAAGTGTACATTTTTATATTGTTGCATTGTTTTAGCACAAAATCTTTATCACTTTGACTGCTCTTTATTATCAGTTACTTTATATATAATTATATATTATTTATATATTATCCCTTTGGCAACTATTTATGATGCCCTTGATGGTGCCGTAGACCTAGTTTTGCCTGAAAAGATTTATTAAATTATAAATAACAATGATCATTTAAAATTTAATGGATGATTTAAATAATGACAATAATGATTACAACATACTTAAAAGTAATCCATCATTTACTTTTGAGAAATGAGATAAATTTTACTCGGTAAAAAGTATAGGAAATAACTTACTAAAAATTTTCAGAAAGTACTTAGTCCTTTAGAGCGAATTTTGTATAACTGTGCAAAAAGCACGGTACTTTCGTGCTGTGACCGTACCATGCCGTGACGGTGATGTTTAGTCAAATCTTTATTTTTATTTGGAATCCTAGAATGCGAGGTTCTGTGACTGTGCTGTGTCCGTGTTGTGATCCGTGCCGTTGCACAGTCATACGAAATCCGCTGTATTGGATTAAAGTAATAAGTAAGTTATTTCACCGTCTTTTTACAGTGTTAAAATTTACCTTCTTTCACATTAGTTGAACACCAACGTAGCTCACGCTAGTTTACAGCTAGCTCATTAAAATACTTTCATAGAAATATTTAAATCTTTTTGTTTATTTACCTATATCTACGGTGGTGGTTACTTGCCTCGTTGTCCTTTCTTTGTTGTTCCTCTTTCCAYTGTCTTTGACGTTCTTCAAACTCTGCTATCCTTTGTTTAGTTTGTTCTAGAGTTTCTCTCATTACTTTGTCCTCTTTCTACATTAACACAGAAAATACAGTTGAAAAACGTTGTGAGAAAACAATACATTTTAGAGTGTATAGGCCAATTTATACTGGTGATTTTTGCTGTGATTTTTGTTGCCATAGAAAACAATACAATAAACAATCAAGTTACACTTAGTTTCGATGCTATTCCTGTCTTTACAGGAATTTTAAGAATAGTAAATGCTTAAGCAATCATCTATAGCATTGTTACTTACTTTGGCTCTTTCTTCATCAAAGTCTACAAAGCCAATTCCATCTAATCTCTGTAAATCTATCCATCCTTTAAATATGACACACACTCCATTTAGAATAAAGTTACTTTTTACATGAACCTACAAGAGAAGATTCCAACATAAGCTAAAGCATATTTTATGCATTGTTCCAGAGTATATTTTTATAAAAACTAAAAGATAAAATATCATTTTTAAAAGAGAAAATTGAAGTTAAAGTTGTATTCAAATGAGGACAAATCTCTAGCTCATATAAAGATGCTGTCACAGCATTTTGTGTCTTAAACACTGTAATCAAGTAACACTTGTTGAAGATTAACATTTCAGGTTTTCCATCTATTTTTCTCTTTCATTCAGCTAATTATKTTTGGAAAAGAGTATTGTTAAGTCTGATGTGTCCCGGTTACCTTACATTAATGTCTTATAAATGTCATTGAGTGGTTATTTTTCAGAAGATAATTAGACAATAAAGATATTTCTACAATTAATCATTTAGATTTGCTTTCCTTTTTCATTTTATTTGATTTCTATCTAACAGCCARTCATTTTAGCAAAACGTAATGCAGTCCACTGTCCATTTCACGGCAATTCATAAAAGGTTAGAGAAAAAGATAATAAAGTGGTTATTTTCCAGAAGATAATTAGAAGAAAAAGATTTTTCTACTATTACTTATCTTTTCTATTTTACTCTGTTTCTATTTCTATCTAACAGCCAATCATTTTTTAAAAAAAATGTAATGCAGTCTGCAGTCCATTATATGGCAATTCATATAAACTTTTAGAAGTGTAATTAAGTGTTTTTTTTTCAGAAGATGATTATAGACGATAACAACACAGATTTTTCTACCATCACTTCAATTCTTTTTCGTTTTTATTCTATTCCTAATTCTATCGAACAGCCCATCATTTAGCTAAACTTAAAAAACTTATACATAATTAATGAGCTACTAGGCCAATAGAATGAGCCTATTTGGTCACATGCATGGACCTTTATATCTGATAAAACACTCCTTATTAGTATTCTTTATATAAAGAATACTAATAAGGGTGACCTTTATCAGATATAAAGGTCCATGACCCTAGCAAAGGTCTCAGGTTTGAAACCTGATCATTGACCAATGCAGGATGTCAACCAATTTCAGTGAACAGCCAAGAGCGGTTCTATTTTACTTTATGCGTATTCAATGTGGGATGACAAGAGTGCTTTGTAAAGTGATTCGCGCATGATCAGTTTGCCCTATTTATCTCTGAACATATTTGAACGGCAATTTCTCCAAGAATTTTAACGGATTTGAGTTTCAAATTAGTGTTGGAGTTTTTTAAGCTGTTTAAAACACTCGAGATCGTGTTTTAAACTATACATAAAACAGTCCTTGATATACAGCAATTCATAAAACTCTACACAGCATWGGTATCACAATCAAGTGGAAATCTTTCAGTGTTTAAGGATTACATTACAGATTTTCCCCAATATTACTTGAATTCCCAGGGTATGTTGTCTAGACTTGAGATCTTATCTCAGCAGTACACTTTCAAACATCTAAATAATCCAAAGTATTCAAAGTATGTCCTACAGGCATGCTARAAATGCGATAGCCAAGCCCTCTTAATATGACCTTGATCAGCAACTTCTTAAAATACATTCTGAAGAGATTTTAAACATTCTAATAGAGAATAGAGTGTTTACTTGATGGTTATGGCTAAGAATAATAATAATAATAATAAAAAACAAATAGCTAGAGCAAACGCAGGAAAACCATGAAATAAAATCTATGAACTAGAAATAATGGAAAGTTATAGTGCTTGAAAAGGAGGTTATTCCTGGCAAAAGACCCTTAATAATGTATATTTTAATTCAAAGTGATTTGATAATGTTTTAGTATAGGTATTAGTAGTAGTATTAGTATGAGTTTTAGATTATGTATGGTGATGATTTCAAATCCTCAAGGTTCTTTTCAGTTTGAGTTTAATTTTTTTTTTTAAGTTATTCTTCAACACATAATGTGTACATCTCTYTGATGTTAATGTAAATTTTTCAAGCCGGTAAGCCGGTAATTTTGCCGGTAAGCCATGTCTCTGTCCTCTGATATAAACACGGTCGTTAGCCAATCAGAGCGCGCGTTATATATCAAAAATTTTATAATACACATAGGCTCTCATGCATTTGTACAACCATACATGGAAGAAATACAATGAATCCTTCTCCCATAATAAAAAGGATATATTATCAATCATTATTATGAATAAATTGATAATAAAAAATATGATTATAAGTTATGTAAGTTATATAATTTAATTTTTTTTAAATATCAATAAATGTTCAATATTAATTTTCAAACATGTTTTGTTATACAATACAATATAACAAAAAACAATACAAAACAAAGCAATAAAATAAAGTATATTTAATATTGAGGGTAACACATGCAATAACAATGAATTATAAATGTTTCCAGCTCTAACAATGTATTTATATTACATTAAAAAAAATGTAATCACCTATAGCTGGCAATTACACAACATATAGAATTACTATCTTAGATCAAGATTGTGTCATCATTTTATGATCTAAAGCATGAATAGGTTGAATGGATGTATGTGTGGGGTCTGGCCMCAGGAGACACACTGATAAACCCATACCCCATCAAGGGGATCAAGACAAATTACAAACCATCTGGTGGTATTAGGGAGGGGTAGAATCACTTAAGAGTTYTATAGAATATAAGAAGTATATATACAGTCTATATATACAACACCTTTTTAACTCATTTTTTTTTTATTTTTTCATTCATTTTACTTTCCATCTATTCATTTTGTCTTGACTTTGCCATTTCGTTTTTCATTTAGTTCGTATTTTTGTCATTCATTTCATATCTTCCATTCAATTTGTTTTGCCTTTTGTTCACTTTGTCATTTCGTTTTCCATTTCGTTTTTCTTTTTTTATTACATCCCTCATTCATTACGACTCTCATATCTTTCATTCACTTCACTYAGTCTTTCAGTCATTTCGTATTTCATTTCAGTTCGCATTTATGTCTTTCATTTCGTCTTTCATTCCTTTCCTTAATTCATTTCATTTTTCATAGAGTTCGTGTTTCTWTAATTTAGTCCTTTTATTTCGTCTATAATTTTTGTAATTTCTTAAAGAACAGACCATCAAAAAAGAAACAGTTTTTATGTAATTCTAAACTGTCACATTCGATAACATTTACACGTAATCCGCGTACAATTAGTGTCTCAATCATCTAGTCCTGAGTGGAACGATTAATCGTTATAATCAAATTACTCTCGATAAACATGTGTCTCCCTTGGAACGAAAAATCGCGCGCTTTTGAGATCCACCTGCTTCTGAATTAGCATTATTTGTTCCATAGGTATGCTGTCTCAAAACCTGAAACAACCTCGAGATTCAACAAAATTGCTGCGGAACATGTCAATTTCATTCGAGATTGATTTCACTAAAAAAGAACGAATGATCGGAACGTGACGAATTGTGTTATTTTTAAAGGAAACTCAGGAGTAATAGGAATTTTATTATTTGAGAAGGGATTATCTCTCTGCCAGAGGTTATAGGATGTGAATCGCGATTTTAGATTTCGCCCGGAAGTTTGTTAATTTCATCGATAATACCAGTCGAGTGTCATCTCGCTGTATCGCTACAATTCCGTTGCAAATCGACTCCCGTCTTTGTGYCATCCGGCATGTCTCAAGTACTCAAAGAACAATTGTTTTTATACCTTGTTGTAATACATTTTAAATTCAGTTCTTTTGAATTAAGTCTTTTCTAAAACTTGTTCTAACAAMGATATCAAACTACGGRCCTCAATAGAAGGAAGGCTTTCAAATGCAAGAAAAGCCATTCAAATGCTCCTCCCGCAAAATCACCGAGTTTCCCATTTATTATTCAACGTCCAAACCACACGTGTAAAAATTATCAATGCATATTGAGATTCAGTCTATTAATTCGGAGACATAGGGAAAAAAAATAACCGGATATCTGAACCAAATGCCGAAATATTTTGACGAAAAGAACAAAGTGGCTTATTAGAACTGCATTTCCTGAAGTAGAATTTGTTGTACAAAAGCGAAAGTTTATGTATTTGGTAACTTTGCTAGCCAGCTGTTTTGACCAAAGAGAATGTCACTTTTAGTGTCATTAGTACATGGAAAATTACTCTTTTTAGAGAATCGAGCRCAAAAAAACGGTGAAAACCAGGGGTCGGAGTTCGTTGAGATTTTTTGAGGAAAAGTGMCTATAATTCTGGCATCTTTCCCATGGCTTCCCAAGCCTAAATTGATTGTAAACAAAAAGAATAGCTAAAACCCACAAACATACCGACATACTGGTAATTCTCTTCTCTTATTCAAGGCAGACGGTGATGAAATATACGTTAATCATCGCGCAGGAGAACTTTCAATTCTAAAAAAGTAGCTAATTATATAAGATTTTCATTACCTTTCCTGGCTCTCTTTCAAAATCTAAGTATTCTTTTGATATGCTYCCATCGTCGTTTTTAGGAAATTGGAGGTTGAAATTTGTTCCTGAAGATACATATGCCTGAAATAAAGATTTAAATTCCCTAGGTTAATCCAAAAGAAAAAGTTCTAGACCACGTGAAGTAACGACTTTTTTTCAAAACTTCAATACTAACTATATGAGCCTGTCCGTCACGGATTTCTGTCTGAAATCGAACGACTCTTTCTTCGTGAGACCGGTCCCTATAAGCCGTATATTTGATCTGTGAAATGAACAAAGTATATTTCCAGTTATGATATTCGATCAAATGTTCTGGAATCCCCATTTGGCCCTTAGTAGTGGGTTCRCAAGGCACTTCTTGCCTACCTCTGATTCTCTGGCTAACTTTCTAAACGTCTCATCATTTTCGTATTTTTGTTTTTGCTCCGGCACTACCCGCGGCATATTGTAGTTAACAGCGATTTCAACTCTGTGATTGGAAACTCAAGTAAAACACCCTTGAARCTATGTACCGCGCTTGAAGTTTCCCTCAGTTTCTCYTCATCAGCTTGTGTTCTTTGGTTTACTGATAAATCATACCTAAAATGACGAAACTTCCGCTAAATGAGGCATAACACTAGGTCACTTCAGCCCCCTTACGATACGACTATTATGTCACGCCTATTGTCTCACCTGTCAATAACATACTCGAATCACGCAATCTGATTGGTCTGCGCTAAGTCGATACTATAAAAACAATGAACGCACACGCGTCACTGCTGAAGCGAAACGAAACATTATACTCACAGGGGAGGGGTGGTGTGCTGTCGATACCAGTAATTCAACTTGATCGTATGATTTTTAGGAATTTTTTTAATTGCGTGCAAAACTTTAATTTACTCTGCTTGACTTTGCTTTGTGAATTGGCGYAAGAATAATTGACCTGGCGACCCGCCGCTGTTGGGCCGTGACAACCGGAAGTGAGTTAAAGGCTGACCGTGTTTCCGGTCATAATGAAAGTCACGTCTTACCGATGCTCCACCCTCCCCTCCCCCGCATTTGGTCATGCATTCCTATGTACAGCCAGGTTCCATGGTAAGTGTGCAAATGTAAGTTTAATGAATAGATAATATTTAAATTCAAAGTATTTTGTGGGACTTAAAAGGCCGCAATGTTGATATTGYCAGTGCCATCTGCAAAGACTGAAGGGAACCCATCAGTTTCTAATCAGCATTCTTCAGAACMCTCTTCTTATTAATTCAGTTCTTTTAATATTCTTGTCTGTCTGTTTTTMCTTMCTTTTTCCTTCCATTCTTTCTTTCYATTCTTCCAATATTTTTCTTTTCCTTTTCATTTCCCTTTCTTTTCACTTTTCTCTTTTTTTTTCACTTATCATGCTATTTTTCCTCTGGCCTTTTTGTAATTTTTGCTTTCTTTTCTTCTTTCTTTCCCCTTCACTTTTTTATTTTTCTCTCTTTTCTTATTTTTCTTTCTTTGTTATCCCTCTCCTTCCTTAATTCTTCATACACTTTCCCTGCCATTTTTCTTTTCCTCTCCCATTCTAGTTTACTCACTTTCATTTCATAAATTCTTCTTCTATAGAAACCGCTGTCTAGCATGTTTACAGGCGCATGTGTTGGAATTTTGGGGGATTTCTTGCGATGTCTTGTAGRGTTATTCCTCTACTTTTAGGTCGCAAACACAGAAGAATCGCCTGGGTTATTTGTTTTCTTTTGATATTGTACATATTATATCAGCTGTTAAGCAATCAAGAAGTGCAAGTTGAAGAATCTGACAATGACCCGAGTCTGCGAGAATGGACGGTGGAGCGACCATGCAATGCTCTGCATATTCGCGAGAAATTAGTAAGTTTACGTAAGTTTTTAAATTCAAAGTAATTGAATAGCAGAACAACGGAAGTTAATATTAAACTGCAATTCCTTCTTCTGTGTACATATCTTAAACTGAATTTTATTGTTTGGCTAGTTCCTTGACGCTTACGGGTTGACAAGTAATAAGCTTATTAGTGTTGGAGAGATAAATCCTGGTAACAGAAAAGTACAAAATGTTAAGGAAAATAAACTTATCACTCCCTTTCAACAATACAATAAATATGTGCCAAGACAAGTCCTTCTGACCCAGGGAGGGAGGGGTCAATTTGAACAAGGGGGAGCTCCTGRGTCGGGGGGTAAGGCTGTGGTAATTTCAATTCTTTAATTCTTCAATACTTTCTCTGATATCCTAATCTTTGTAAATGGTCTGCCAACAAAGACTTCAAAACCCCGACCCTATCCCAGTCCTAAAATTTCAAGTTTTCATGCCCAACCCAGACTAAGTCTTAGAATTGTACACCCTATTTTGCTGACTTCTAAACAGAATTTATATTGTTTCTGTTTTGGCTGAAAGCATAGCTTATTCCAGACTAAAACCAATCAAAACCTTCCTCTATTCAGACTAAAATGACCAAACTGTATCCCTATCCAAGACAAAAAACATTCCCTACCCTAGACAAACTTTTAAAAAGAATACCCTACCCTAGACTTAAAAGTAGAAAAATGTTGTATAATCTATTGTGCAGCATATACCTGTATAGCAAATATAGGGGATTCCCCCTCCCTCCCCCTCCCCTCTCTCCCTCCCCCTTCCCTTCCTTCCTCCCTCCCCCTCCCCTCCCCCCTCCCAGGTATTATTGTTAACTCCAGACCATCTATATAGGATTTACTTTTTTACTTCAGTGTCAGGAATATTTAGATAACAAGATTGGTGGGAATATTTGTGAAGATCTTTGCTTAAAAGACACTATATCACTTGAACCAATATGCAGTGCAAAGAAAGAAACTACTATAGTAATATTTGGAAGATTGAAGGATGAAGAGATTGTCCTTAAAGCAAAGAAAAACTCTCATCGCTATAATGAGTTAGATGAGGAACTGGGCTTTGCTTTCCAAAACCAAGGTGAGAGCTATAAAAGGTGTAACCGTCCTTTGTTCAGATGTGATGCAGGCTAATAACAGGGGATCCCTCTTAGCCTCCCTTCATATCTGGGGTACTCCCCTATAAATTGCTGTCACTAGAAGAGTGCAGAATATCATTACACCAAAAATACATCCAAGAATGTGAATGATCCTGTATGCAGTCTCAAAAATCAGACATTTCTACCAGTTGAGGACAACCTCCAATAGCCGATTTGCATTATGGCGTCATTTACTACAACTACCAGAATGCTTTGCCAACATTTTTTTGTAATTCAATTAGTGCCAATTGTTTTATTAATCTCCAAGGGGATTAAACATCTGAATAAAAATGAAAATGCGCAAGGCTCTCTGATAGTTGTAGTAAAGCTATGCCATAATGCAAACAGCCTATTCTGAGAAAAAAATATTATAGGAACTGTGAGACTTAATTTTTTTGTGTCTGTAAAATATCTGTAATGTAATACTAGTGTTAAGCATTCTATGCCTGCCATTATCAGTCCCCTTTTACACTGTGATAGGAATTAAATAAACATATTATTATCATTATTGAGGATTGGTATCCACCACACTATAGGGTATGTTTTTTTTTCTTTTGAGTCTGGGATAGGGTATCCTTTTATAAAATTTGTTCTGCAATAGGGTATGGTTTTTGTCTGGGATGGGGTTATACTTTCTTGGTAATTTAGTCTAAATAGGGGTAGGTTTTATTCAGTTTTAGTCCCATGGCATGTGCTGTTCGTGCTGGCACAGATTTAATGTTCTCCTTTCGTTGCAGGACATGATCAAAACAGACTGCAGGCCTTTATCAACATTATTCATAACCACGTCATCCAAGAAATCTATATAGAAMATCTCAGAAGTAAAATATCACCAAGTGAAATGTTTCAACACATGTATCATCCTTTTTCACCAAAAAATATTTCACCAGTTGAAATGARAAGCCTTTGGGCATTACTGCAACAAGAGGAGTAYATCAAACTACAACTTCTCAAGGGCAGTAAACATTTTCCTAGAATTTACGGCTTCTGTGGACACTACTATGCCATTGAGAGAGTAACAAGCCTTAACGATTTAGTGGGTATTACAAAACTTCCTCTACCCTGGTCTAAAAGGGTTGAAATTGCTTTGGAATTACTGGAATTGACYACAGAGTTTAAAAGTACTTCAATTGGTAGTCTTGCACACTGCGATATTCAGCCAGGAAATTTTGGCYTTGCTAAAGATGGYAGAGTTGTTGCCTTGGATATTGATACAGTCTTTACAGARTCTCAAATGGATRCYTACATGGCTGACGGYACTAATTGTTCATCACACTCCCAATGCACGTTTTTTGACTGCATGTCTATTTGTGAAAATGGAAAGTGYTCCAATAAGATTCTTTCAAATAACTTGCACATYATTTGTCGTGATCTCTTTGACTCAGGATGGACATTGCCGGGATTACTAGGCCCTCTGTCAGGGAAGACATTTTTGGTAAACCAGTTGAAAATGTATTTGCGTCAGTGCGCAGATAAAACAAAACTCCCATGGTCAGTGCATCATGAGGATKTATTAAAAAAGAAAATATACAGCTTACTTATGAAAAGTACCAAAACATGAATGCATAAATAATATAATATATTTTATGCCAAACTTAACAAACTTAGTGCAATTTTTTCAACATACTTATCCAAGATATATAAGATATTATAGAAAAATGAATATCAAATATTACATTATAATATATTTTTGTGAAATTTTTATTGAATAATTTTATAATTTTTATAATACAAAAATAATGAGAAACCCTGTCGTTTTTTGTTTTTTTTTGGAGGGAGGTGGGTAAATTACATCTGTCCATATATTCAAAGAAATGGCTCAAACCATAAATATAAAGCTTTGGCATATAAGAAAAACTATTTATCTTTCACATATTATTATATTATTATTATATATTTCAGATATTATTATACATGTATACTGTACATGTTATCAAATATTTCAGGCTCATTGAAGTAAAGTTAAGATACAACAGAACATGCTGGAAAATTAACCTCTTTGTACTATTTTGTGCAATTTAGAAAATGGTATCAGTAAAGACAAATGGTGATTCAAAGGCAGTTCTGCTTCAGTGTTAGATTTGGTGCTATTTTAATTTTGTACAATACTCCAGTTTTTCAAATTCCCTTTTGCACAAGCTTAGCTTCAATCAAGCATAAATTTTTATTGTCTTCCTTGTAAACAGWGTGTTTGCATTACAATAGCTTCTCTGCTGAATAAAAGAATATATTACATGCTTTCGATGTAGTTCTAATTTGCACTAAAATTTGGACCTGAAGCAAGGCATGGGTGGCCTAGTGGTTAARCTACTGGCCTCTCACCGCTGTGGTCCGGGTTCGATTCCCGGGTACGGACYATATGTGAGTTTGAGTTTGTTTGATGTGTTGTTCTCTCCCTTGCCACRAGGGTTTTTCTCCGGGTACTCCGGTTTTCCTCCCTCAGCAAAAATCAACATGTGAGGAGTGTTGTGTGCTAAAATACTTAATGTAGAGGTAGTGAGTGTGAGAGTACAGGGTCCGCAGTAATTGGCTCACGCTGTTGCGGTGTCCCTGCCCAAACTAGGGGCAAAGCTAATAAATTAAAATT